CTGTCCAAGGATGGTCCTAATAATTTAAACAGCCTGGGAAAGTCCTGGGATCTGGTTACCAGCACCAGTGTGACCTAGGGGACAGCCCACCAAAACCAGCCTGGACACATGCTGTGCTACACTGCAGCCAGGGAAAACTCCTGCCTGAGAAAGGCTGTTATTCATTTAAATTATGTGTTTGGCGCTGGGTGAGAGCAGGGAGAAGGTGAGGTGGATTGGGAGGACACCTGGGGTCCTGTGCCATCGCCAGTGCAGCAACAGCCTCTCCCCATCCTCAAGCACTTCCAGAGGTATCCCTGAATATGGAAGGGCTGTGGAGCAAAGTGTGTGTGTGGGGGGGGGGGGGACGCACAGCGCAGTACAGGAGGACAATGCCTTCCGCCCTTCACTCCAGCTCACTGCTCGGTGATCCCAGCCAATTTAAGCAGCAGCTAGAAATTACCGAGCCGGTAATCCGTGCTGCAGGAGCCGAGCTGGCTCGGGGCTGCTGGTCAATGCTGGCAAGTCTCTGGTCGCGTCGTCTCCCCCCTCCCATCGAGCCCAGCCTTTTCCCCAGGTTTGATCCGACTCGCTGCTCGCAGCCCCCACGGGGGCACTCCCCGTCCATCCCACCCATCGCGCTTCACCGCTCCCCACCGCATCGCACCGCACCCCATCGCACCTCCGCTGCACCCATTGCACCCCACCCAGAGCATTCCAAGCCCCCAGCCTGGCTCCCCCGGGTGCCGCCTGCCCCCTTTTCGCCTTACCTTAGCGGGGCATGGCCAGGGACGGCGTGGGGGACGGAGCGCTGGTGCCCGACGCGGAGCCGCGTTACCTCCGGCACCGAGCGAGGGCAGCGCCTGCCCTGGCTGAGCCTCTTAGCGGGGGAGGAGCCGGGATACAGCCAGCCCCCGGTGTGGGTGTGGGTGTGGGTGTGTGAGTGTGAGTGTGTGTGTGGTACCTCCAGCCCGGTGACACCGCAAGTGCCGCGCTCCCCCAACGTCCCCACGCCCCAAAGATGCGTCCTCCTGCACCCCTGGGGTCTGCCCCAGACCATGACATTGTAGAATCATAGAATGGCCTGGGTTATAAGGGACCTTAAAGATCATCTGGTTGCAAACCCCCTGTCATGAGCAGGGACATCTTCCACTAGACCAGGTTTCTCCAAACCCCATGCAACCTGTCCTTGAACACTTCCAGGGATGGGCATCCATAGCTTCTCTGGGCAACATATTCCAGTGCTTCATCACCCTCAGAGTAAAGAATTTCCTCCTAATAGCTAATATAAATCTCCCTTCTTTAAGTTTAAAATCATACTCTCTTGTCCTATCAGTATTTGCCCATGTAAAATGTTTTCATGGCACTCATGAAGATCCCTGCTACAAGTTAAACTGCAGTTTCAAGTCCTCGTGCAGAGTCCTGATGACTTCTTGGGCAAAGGGGTGGCTGAAGGATCCCCCTTTGCTCTGTGCAAAGTGTTCCCTGGGATGTGCAAGAAACTGTATTGAAGTCCTGTGGGGTGAGGCCAGGAGCTGAAAGGTGTTCTAGTTTGAATGCACCAGTGTGCATTTGTAAATGCGAAAACTCAGACAAGAACACACTCAAGGACCAGGAAACTCAGAGCTGAGGTTTTGCCTAGAAGCTTAACTCTGACCTGGTGACTCCCTGCCTGAATCTGGGCTACTGTCTTTTTTCCTTCCTGCTAAGAAAGGTGGAGTTGGATTTTAATGCTATGAAACATTACCAAGGCTCTTGCTTAGGTATAAATCCTGTCATTTTAACTCTTGAATGCTGCAAAACACACCTTTTTATTTGCAGTGTTATCACACAAGATGGTTCTAAGCTCCAGTCTAGAATGAAGGGGCCTGAAACCGTCTGTGGACCTGGATGACTGAAAATTTTTGGTGATACTGCAGAAGTAAGGAGCAATAAAAGGGAGCCTCCTTCCTTCAAAGTCAACCAGGAACTCTGCTCAAAATACAGGAGAAGTCATGGTACAGTCACCTTCTAAGTGGTGTCTGTCCTTCTTGTCCTGACTAAGCTCAAGACAGATGATTTGTGATCACCAAGGGCCATGCCCGGCTTCACTCAAGCCCTACTCACTGTGTCAATATAATTGGTGTGGATGTAAGGGCAGAAAATGGCTGTGCCCAGGCTTTACTCTGGACTGCATCTGTTGTGCCTGGAAAGGGTCTAGGCTTGGGCAGCCTTTCCTTGTGCCAAACATGATCCACGGGTGTGTGGAAAGGCAGTGAGGGAGGCTCTTCCAGGAACATAGAGCTAGACATGCCCCTCTGCCTGCACCACTGGGTTTGGAGGTGGGATTTGAAGAGTGCAAGGAGCATTTGGACAACTGCTCAGAACAGACTCTAATGGCTTTGGGTCATGGAATAATCCCTGGTATTTAACATCTGGGGTATTGGCCAAGGATGTGGTAGCACCTGAACAGCTCTAAGGGACAGAAAATGAACCCATACCCTTGTTGAAGGCCCTACTACCTCTGTAGCCCTTCTTGCTGGAAATCCCTCACCCTTTTGGGTAGCAGGAGGTTCATAGCCATATGGGGGGAATGTACAGGGGATTTGGGTGGGAAGCTGCAGGCTATAGAGGATCCAGCTGCAAGAAGAAATATTCCAGCAACATCTTTCAACTTTGTCTGTTTCTTCATGAAGATGCTCTTTCAGGTGAAAAGGAGTCTCTGAATTGCATATTTATCACAGAATCACACGATCACAGAATGGTTTGGGTTGAAGGGACGTTCAAGATAATCTAATTCCAAACCCTCTGCCACGGGCAAGGATACCTTCCACTAGACCTGGTTGCTCAAAGCCTCATCCAACCTAGTCATGAACAGTCTCAGGGGTGGGACATCCACAGCTTCTCTGGGCAACTTGTGCCAGTGCTTCATCACCTTCACAGTGAAGAAAATCTTCCTAATACCTAACCTAACTCTGCTCTCTTTCATTTTAGTGCCATGCCTCCTTGTTCTATCACTACATGCCCTTAGAAAAATCCTTATTAAAAATCCCTTATAAAAACTATACATAATTTAACAGTTGTGAGCAGAAATCCCTGGCAAATGGCAATGCTGGAGAGATATAGAGATGCTTCAGGACCATTGGTGAGCCTGGGCTGGATCCTGCCTGGAGCTGTGCACTATTCTAATGCTTGCTGCTGGTCTCCATACATGCACAGTCTCCCCACATCTCCACACTGATGTGCTGGGGTCCTACATCAATTCCAACATCCCTGCTTGCCATGCTGGTGTGCCCTACCAGCACAGGGACAGGCAGGGCTGCAATGCAACCTCCATTTTTAAGCCCACCTCCACAGTACCAACAAAACTGAGATGTGGATGCTGGTGGGGAAGCATGACCTCTATGCCTACAGGATGATCTGTGGCTTTTCCAGGCTTGCATACACCTTTTTTTTTTTTTTTAATAATGTACACAAAGGAAGGCTCAGTAAAGCCACCTGGTCTGTCCAGCAGCAAGTATCACAGCCCCATAGGTGCCTAGCCAAGTCTACTGCTCAGAACATCCTCCAGGAGAGTATCAGGATGTTTTGGGGGTATAGATGTTTGTGAGGCTTTCCCCTGAGGAAAGATCCTTGCAAGCTGTTTCAGTGGTGGAGGCAAAGGAGTAAGATGCACCTTGTACCCATCAAAAGCATTCTGGAAGAACACAGCAGTTTAAAGGCAGGAAGTCTGAATAAAATATACACAATTTATTTATTTATAGAGGTTTACAGCTGTACAATGTTGGCTTTCTGTTTGGACCACTCTCTGTTCTTGTGCAGCGTGACACATCAGTGCCTTTGGAGATGAAGACAAGTCACAGCCTGTTCTAACATGCAGATGTGATGTCAAAAAGAAATGGATTTCATGAAGTGTAATGGCAGGCTGCTTGCAATCATTGAAATGATTAAAAAAAGAAATACAAAATAAATCAGAGACATGTCCTACACCACCTGGGAGGGACTGGAAAGTGCTTATCAGACTCCTCTCAGACAAAAAAATCCTGAATATTTTTGTCTACTTCATTTGAAAAGAAAAGGCATCAACAGTTGGAATGGCATTTCAATATCTGCTCCACAAACATGACAAAAAAAAGAGTAACAAAGGTAACTTTTGTTATTCTATTGGAAATGTAGGGGAAGAAGGCTTCTGCTCCAACTTTTCCAAAGCTTTGGAAAAAAAAAAAGGACAAATATTATTGATATTAAGACATTTTGGTCCTGATATAGTGTGATGATTTTTTTTTTTAAGAAGCTGTTTAAAAGCTGCCTTTCCTCTCATTATGGCTTGATTCTTTGTAGGAAGGAAGGAGTCTGCCCATGGGTACCAGGGCACCATTACTCCTTGTTAAGCTTCGGCACTGCTCCTTGGGGATCATGGTGAGATTTGGCACACGGCAGGGCACTCCTGACCAAATGGCTCTCCTTTGCTGAAGCTCTCCATAGCCTGATTTCCTGAGAAAACAAGGCTAATGCCGGCAGGCTGGATACCTCCATCTACTTATGATGGTGCAAAGCTCCTCTCGTGTTCCTGTGATGCCAAACAGCTCATCTCTCTGCCAGGTGAGGTATCTTTGGGCATCACAGTCCATCTCATATGTCACTCTGAACATAAGCCTGTAGACCCAAATGATACCTTCTTGCCCTACAATGCCGCTTCCATTTATTTTCAGTGATGAGTCCCATAAACAAAACCAGAATAAAGCCAAAATATCTTTGTATCAGTCTGCCCCAATTCAAGGATTTGCTTTGACCTTTGGATCAAAATGTCACTTGACCTACCTAGAAGCATTTAAGTAAATTCTGCAAGATGCTGAACTAAACTTGGTCCCTGTGATGGCACGTGGAGTTGGAGGGTTCTCAGTGCAAACCTGAAACGATTTTGTCCATAACTGCAGGAGGTACACTCTGAAGATGTGGAAAGGAGAAAAACAGCCTGCAAAAATTGATGCAGTTGTACTGTCTGCTTCTGGATGCACCAAGAACTGAGCTGACAGGTGATGTGAATTTGGAAACAGTTTACTACATTATAGACTTAAAAGATCTTTAGGGACTTAAAAAAAATACAGCCTTGCAGCACAAACATGGGTGTTGACTAGGACAAGCAGAAACCCTACTTGCTATGGCAAAAGAAGGCTTTCCTGTTCACTTGTTCTTGCAGGTAAAGGACTCTGCCGAGGCCAAAATTTGCCAAGACTAGAAGATTTTATCATATGTATTAATTTCCACTTGCATGCAGCAGGTGAGTGAAAAAGATTTGCTTGTTAGAAAATCTGACAGAAAAATCCCTTAACTTGCACCATTTTAAAGGCACATGAATAAAAACCTCCAAACAACAGGAGAAAAAAATGGTTTGAAACCCACCCTGATCAGCTGCTCAAAGGCCAGACAACGGGTTGTTGTTTGGCTTATCTGGGATGGTTTATAAGAAGCCAGATTCTGCCACCCAGTGGAATAAGGAAGATTAACCCAGTTTTCATGGAAATCAGGAGCAAACCCTGGCCCCAGACATGTCCCCAAGGATGCATTTGGGTTGTGCTCATGAGACCGGCTCTAGCACTGTGCAACTCCTCCTCCAAGACAGGAGACTGGAAATGAAAGGTGAGAGACGGACACTGGTATGAATTCAATATTCCCAGCATTTTCAGGCTGCACTGGGAGCAGTGCTCCTCTAGCACAAGCTAAAATTCCACTATTTTTTAAAAGAATTTGGGAAAGCGAGGCACTGAGAAATGATGCACTGTATGCAGCAGTAAAGATGTAGTGCATGGAGCAAAGCTCCCCATCCCTTGGACCTGACATTTTGGCCTTCAGAGGAATCGATCTCCTCTTACTTAAACACTGAATGGCTCTAGCAGACAAGCCACCCCAGCTCCTGAGATGAGCTCTTGGGATGGGGATGGCATGAAGACATGGAGACAGCAGGCACCACGGCAGTTGAAGAGGCACACGCAGGAGCCGAGTCCAGACCAATTCAAAAGCCTGACCCCAGAGAACAGTTATCCCACATAGCTGTTGACATCTTTGTATACTTCAGAGCTGCATGGGGTTGAACAAGACTTGGGTGGACACAGCTTGTCCCTAAAATGACAGAGCCTTTGGTCTTGTTGCCCCTGTGAATTTGGGATTCGGGCTGCCTTGGTGCATTTTCTTTCCAGTTGCAGTATGCAAACCTATACCCAAAAAACACACAGAAGGCTCCAATCTGTTTTTCCACTTTTTTGCTGTGGCGCCTCCATAGATAAGCGATTAAATGGCAATTTCAAGGGAGACAACTCCATGCACGCTACTCTTAACACCAGCAGACACATCAAAGATGCACTGAAGCAGCTGGTGGGACCGCAGTGGCCACACGTGTGCATGGTGGCACGTGGGTGTGCCAGCCTGTGTAAACAAACAGCATCAGGGCATCGTGCTCTGGCTGTCAGGACACACAGTGTGCTCACAGCGATCCCACAGGGCACATGGCAATGAGGGGGGCTGCAGAGGATGCCAGTAGAAGGATCATTGTGGTTCCCCAAAAAAAAGGCACCATTTTTTAACATTGAAAACACAAGATTGGCTCCTTTGAGTGGAATGCATGCATGGTTCATATACACTTTGCAGATGGTAGGAAGGCTCTGTGTGTGTCTCTATATATATGTATGTATGTGTGCAGGTTTATATTCACATATGTGGCACCAGAAGAGTCATCTTTGAGTACTCAGACGTTAGTGAGGATGTTACTGCTGAGCAGCATCACAGCAATGGTTCCAGGGAGATCGTTTGACCTCCTGTTCCCCTTGTCCTGGAGGTGCAGCGTGTGCACTGACTGCCGGTCATTGGGATCCCCCGTCAGTACCACTTGGCCCAAGAACTCGTCACTTATTAAGTTGTGGTTCCAGATCTGTGGAAATAAAACAGGGATAAGGGCAGCTCCTTCAGGAATGCAGCCAACCTTCATGCACTGAAGAGAAGAAGTGATTACTGGGGATTTGCTCTGAGCCGGAGCCTGGGAGGTGATGAGGTGTGGGAGTGTCACTCTGCAAGTGAGAGGGATGAAGGACATGCTTTTAACAGATGTCACCATGGTGATGAGAGGTTGAGCTGCACTAGTTAGTTATGCTCAGCCTTGGGTACAGATCTGCTGTGAACAGTGTGAGGAGAGGGTTGGGGTGGTCCAAGTGAGAGAGGGTCTCCATCCCTCAACTCACTGCTCGCCTCCCAGGTACCTGAACAATGATGGGTTGTCCTGGCTTCTTCCGGTAGAAGAGCCCTTTCACATCAAATTCTGGTGATACTGTGTTCTTCTTCACTGGAGAGCGAACTTTTTGTCCTTCACACTTTATGATCACATAAGGATCGGCTCCTGGGGAGAGAAAAGGGAATTTTTTTGTTGTGAAGTCGAAAATTGGCTCTTAAAAGAAACCTCTAAGATTCAACTTGTGAGTTTGAGCAGACAGCATTCTTTTACTTATGATGTTGGATGCACATGAGATTAGATTCTCCAAAAGGCATGCATCCATGAGTTACAGAAACCTCATGCCTTTATTTAGTTACCTAATTAACAATTCAAGTATTACCTAATCCTATTTCACCCCTTTCCCAGAATTGTTCCTCCCCTTGACACGCCTCCTGTTTTGAGTCAGTGGTCCCTTTGGGTCATTCGTCGTCCTTTTTACGCTGTCTTTTTCTTGAACTCTCACTTTTGGCACACCGTCTCATCTTTTGGAACAGTGTCCATGCCCTTTGTACAACCATGAGGACAGTTTTGTCTAGTTCGTTAGCTTTATGTTCTTTTATCAGTTCTGTTTCAGAACCTCCTGTCTCCCAAGAAATTCCTTTCTGCTGAGACTGCCAACTTTCAATGATAAGCCACACGGTTTTACTACATAGTTTTAAGCTACATTCATTATTTTATATGGCTATAGATTCCCCCTTTAGAGACTTTAGCTTCTTTAATTCCTTAGAGTCCTTTTCCAGGGGTGTCATGCAGCACTTTGCCTCCATATCCCACCAGAGGACATGGGTATCTGTCAAAGAACTCATCACAGCCCAGATGACGTTTATGAAGCTCAGCTGTTGGGCTCACGCTTAATTCTATTAGATGACATTGTCTCTGGGCAGCAGGCGGTGATGGACTGCTATGAAGCTGGTGAAGGGCTTGGAGCACAAGTCTGATGAGGAGCAGCTGAGGGAGCTGAGGGTGTTCAGCTCGGAGAAAAGGAGGCTCAGGGGAGACCTTATCGCTCTCAACAGCTACCTGACAGGAGGTTGTAGCCAGGTGGGTTGGTCTCTTTTCCCAGGTAACAAGTGACAGAACAAGAAGAAATGGCCTGAAGTTGTGCCACGGGAGGTTTAGACTGGATATCAGGAAAAATTTATTCCCCAAAAGGGTTGTCAAACACTGGAAGAGGCTGCCCAAGGCAGCAGTGGAGTCACCATCCCTAGAGGGATTTAAAAGATGTGGCACTTGGGGACATGGTTTAGTGGTAGGCTTGGCAATGCTGGGTTAAGGGTTGGACTTGATGACCTTAAAGGGCTTTTCCAAGCTAAACAATTCTATGCTTCTATGATTCTTTGAAATGGTCCCCTCTTCTTTGGCCCTATATTCTATATAAACACTCCTCCATCACTCTAAATCCTCCTGACCATTGTAATAAATCTTCCATGGAAGACACCATCCTTCAGGATTTGCTGTCCTGAAGGCAGGCAGAAATAAAACAATGGAGAAGAGAAAGAGAGTCACACAAGGAAACAGCAGACGGAGAATAAAGTTACCAAGTTCACAGACTACAGCCCACAGCTAGATGGCACCTGAGCTTCCAGGAGAAGGAAAGAGTCCCTCATTAGTGAATACTTTCCTCTTATGAAACAAGTGCTCGTTTTGGGAATTTCATTAGAGAATCAACTATTGCTATGGAAATTTAATTGCCAGAATGCATTTTCTTACCATGAGCTTTAGTGACTGTGATGGAAACACACACCAGCTGGATGAGTTTTCGTGTCCCAGGGAAATGTGGAAATGAAGAGGAACAAACCAGTCCCTTCTGAGGGTCAGAGATTTAAGAACCACATCTTTGACTGCCAGACTACGTCCTTGCTAGCTTTCTGTTTGCAAGGACCTGGCTCCCCTGGTGAGACACAGCTGCTGGATTTCACAGCCGTTTTTCTAAATCAGCCTTGTCTTTTGGGATGTCCCATTAAATCCTCATATTCCATCAGCCAGAGCCAAATTCCTATCTGTAAATCACAATTTCCAATGTGAGAACACCTGGACTGGGATGTACAAGAGATGCCGTTGCACTGGGAAGAACAAAACATGCTGTTGTTGGTGGGAGCTGAACAGCTGGGAAACAGCTGGAAGAAAGCAATTCCCAAGGGTCTCTTGTGGAAAAAAATGTAGAAAGATAAACCTCCTTGTTTCTATGAATATTCAGAGACCTTTGGCTACAGACTTCCCTGCATTGCTACAGATACACTGAGCTATTGTGAATCACCCAAGAAAAAACAACCTGCCAAAGGTAAAATTCCCTCCCCAAATACCAGACAGGGTAAAAGGACTCCCTTTGTGGCACGTGATAAATAAGCAGACATGGCTAGTCCTCGCTTAGAAAAGATTCTGCTCGTTACTCTCAGGGTTCTAGTGACACGCAGCCCCTCTACTGATAGACATTTATCCAGCCTCCAGTGATGAACACTACGCATCAGCCTGTTCCATCGTTTATCTGTCCTTCTTACTAAAAGCCCTTAAACAGAATTCCTGACTTTTACAGCTGCTCATACTCAGGAGGAAAGCCTGTGTTGTTACAGGACCACTGCTAGGAGCTTTGGGGAAGTTTTGGGAGGATCTCAGACAACAGCCTAAATATAACACCTCCCAGATCATGTCCACAGCAAGAAGTGAGTTTGATTCTCCATGGACTTTCTCTTCCTGTAGTGTCTCAATCAGGCATGTTCACTGAAAAAAATATCTGAGGACATAAATCCCAGCAACGTCCCACTTCATAAAACCACCTCCCCCTTTCTCCACTGAAGAAACCACCTCCCAAGTCCTCCAGGGCTAGAAAACAGGCAGGGAGAGACCAATACCTCCTTGGGAGTCCTGATTCTTGAGCCCAGCTGCAGCAAGGACATGGATCTGGGATACTACTTGCGGGTAACCACACATCCCACTCCAGCAGGTGTGTGGTGGCTCATCCAGTGTCAGCTCTCTGCAAGGAAAAACACGTGGCCTTTGAGAGGTGCCCAGCCTTAACCCAGAGAGTTTGCTCTGGTACAATGGAAAGACTATCTACTGTCCGCTGTCAGACTCAGCTCCCCAGTCCAATCTCCTCAACCTGGGTTTGGGATGCTTAGAAACAGAGTGGGAGCTTCTCTGCATGTTTTGTGGCGAGACCTGTAAAGATGCCGTCTCTTGACCACACGTGAAAGGAAGCCAAACGCCAGCTCCCTGTAAGGCTATGACCGCTCAGGAAAACCATTAGTCAAACGCAAAGGGCTGTCTCCAAATAGCCAGTTCCTCCCCATCACTGCTCGTGCTCCTTACCGGCAATCTGAAGGCACATCTGTGAAAATCCTGAGAAGGAACTCGCCTTCATGACCAGGGTCAAAAGTGGTGGGGATGATGACGTAGCGGCCTTCCTTCAGGTCTGTCCTCAGGAAGACGCTGCGGGAGTTGATGTAGATGGAGCTGGCCACCTTCTGCTGCAGGGTGTGCATCCGGTAGTTCCTATTCAACTCCACCTAGGCAGAGAGCACAGCAGGATTGTCAGCAGATTGTGACTGTCTGACAATGTACTGGTATCCGCAATGGGGGCCCAGACTGCAAGGACTGAGCCCACAGTGCTGGGAGACCTGGAGCTAAGAGAAACAGCAAAATGGTCCCAGCTGTGCTGCATGGAATACAAGTGTGGATGGGGCTTTCCCAACTCGGTTGGCTCAGAGACTTGTCTCTTGCATCCCAGCTTAACACTGGGGGCCCAGCAAGCAACACATAAGGATCAATCTAGAAGATTTCAACATTTGGAGAGAACAGACTAAACATTGCTTTTAGCAAGGAGAACTACACAGAATCAAATGGTTTGGATTGGATGGGACCTTAAAGATTACCTAGCTCAAACCCCCCTGCCATGGGCAGGGACGCCTTCCACTAGACCAGGTTACTAACAGCCCCATCCACCCTGGCCTTGAACATATCCAGGGATGGAACATCCATAGCTTCTCTGGGCCACCTGTTGTCCATGCTGTCACTGTACACCTCTGAAATCCCTCTTCGTCTCTAGAGTGAGGCAAGCTGTGTCGATGGCACTCCAGTAGCACCCAGATAATGCTTAAATGAACAATATGGCCATTCAGGACTGATGTACTACTCCACCACTAACAAATTTAGGGTAGCATTCAGGCCAACATACAGGAAACCCCAGTGTACCTTATGGATATCAAAGCCTATGGCCAAGTTCTCTCCTTTGCCCTCTTTGCGACTGGTTCTTTTTGGCTTCTGCTGGATAGAGATCAGCACTTCATCTTCTGCCTTCTTCACATCGAACACATACTAGAAGCAAAGGGAGTTATTAAGACAGGATCACTGGGCATGGGTAGGTGTGCACGCACAGTAGATTTAACCTCAGTTTTGCCTCACCCACCTTCCTGAAGGGACAGTACCCATACTGAGAACCCACACCCCCTGCTCTTGGGAACTGTCATCATCTTGCCAAGCCAGAGACCTTTTTGCCTCATCTTAGAGAAAGACTGTGAAATCCAGTCTCTGAATTGCTTGGCAGAATCCAAAGAGTCTAGATGCAGTCTCATACCAGAGACTTCTACCACTTGAAGTCTGCCACAAGTCCTACTATAAGGCATGGAAGGAGGAACTATGTTCACAGACACCTAAGATGAAGGCTAATACAGAGCTAGAAGATGGAAACAACTCTCCCATTCTTTGATGACAACTCTTGCAATGGACCAGACCATCCTTCATCTGCTTGTTAGGACCTGGAAGGACTCATAAGGACCTGGCTCATGATATTGTGATCCACAGTTCAGAGTAGGACAAGACAATCACAGAATCATAGAATAATTTAGGTTGGAAAAGACCTCTAAGATCATTGAGATTAGCTCTTAACCCAGCACTGCCAAATCCAGTGCTAAACTGTCTCCCCAAGTGTCACATCTACATGCCTTTTGAACACTTCCAGAAATGCCGATTTCACCACTGCTCTGGGCAGCCTCTTCTAATGTCTTCATTCTTCCAGTGAAGAAATTTTCCCTATTATCCAATCTGAACCTCTCCTGTCACAACTTGAGGCTTTTTCCTCTTGTCCTATCACTTGTTACCTGGGAGAAGAGACTGACTCCCACCTGGCTACAATCTCCTTTCAAGTAGTTGTAAAGAGCAATAAGGTCCCTCTCAGCTTCCTTTTCTCCAGAAGAGTTTGTTCCAGGAGATGAACTTGAAGTTGGAAGGAAATGGCCCTATAGATTACACCTGTCCTGGTAAATTTAACAGTGCCAAAGTTTGGGGAACAGAACTGGAATTTCATCATTTGGATATCCAAATTGTTGGAAATGAGTCCTGGCCTTGTTTGACTGGAACCAGCCAACACTGCTACCCTATGGCACAGTTTGCTATTTGCTTGTGCCAAGATGGTCTACACCAGGCACTTGGATGCAGTCTCCCTGATAAGAGGGACAAGGTTAATGGAGTTGGCCTGGATGGTGGTCATGCTGTGCCAGGAGGCTTAGCCAGAGAATGGTAATAAACACAATTAACCTATTAGAGGTCTGGAAGCCATTTTGGTCTTCTAGGTCCCTGTAGGAGATTTACACATTTGGAAGCACATGTGAAGGGCCCAGAAGGCCCTCTGTTCCATACTCACCTGGGGGTTCTGCAAAAAGGTGTCCTTGTGGTTGATGCAGCCTCCAGAGCGGTTTTTCAAGGGGTCATTGCTTCTGGTCCACGCCCCATGTAGCACTGCCTCTTCCCAGGTCTTGTGGATGCTCAGGTAGGATGTATTGATCAGACGGCACTTGATGATGTCCGTGAAGTATTTGCAGAAATCTTCGAAGGTCATCCTAAGTCAGGAAAGGGCAGAGCTGGATTATACTGCTTCATTCCCTGGAAAAGTACACTGAAGGAGTTTTCTTGATCACCTGTTAGAGACTGAGGGTTGTCTCTGATGGCTGATGAATATCAAAAGTTATTAATCAAATATCCCCAAAAGAGATTGGTGATACCTTTATCTATACATGCAGTAAGTACTTCTTCATTTTAAACAACAGAGCTATGTGTTTTGGAGTAGGAGAAGCAGCATAGTGCCCCTTTCTCCACACAAGGGCACATGTACTGAAACGTACCCAGTGAGGCTGTTAAGTTCAGCCCTCTTATACCAGGTTCTCACTATCCTGGTGAAATGGTTTGGCCCCAGAATGGTACAGAGCAGCTTGCAATCCTAGGATCATGGTCATCCAAAGATAACCCCTCATGGACTCAAAGAGGGGGCTTGGAAGGCTGTTTTCCCTGGATTGCTGTATACGTGGAAATGACGCACATGCTCCATGGGGTTAGAGGATGCTGTGGGCATGGCCCGTGGTGACAGGAGGGACTCACCAGAACTCTCCATCATCTTCCACTGTCATCCCCATCTTCTCTCTCTCACTTTTACTCACTTTCTGCCACTCCTCAGAGCTGTGGGAACAGAACAGGATGATTACTCAGAGGCAAGGGGACACACAAGAATTCAAGAGGCACAAGGACTGTATAAAGCTCCAGCTCAGTTCCCGTGCTGTTCTGATCAGATCATCTTCCAAACATGGGGGAAGTCCAGCATGGCTTGGAACTTCAACTTCTGTCCTGACCAGTGGAGTTGAATGCAGCCTGGCAAGATTTTATTTGGCCAGTAAAATCAAAGCCCTATCAGTGAAGATAACAAAATTGACTTTGGCCAAAGGCTCTGGTTACACTGGCCCTTGGTTCATCATCTCATCTCATCTCATCCACAGACATCACAGCAATCAGTGGTGGCAGAGATTGATTCTGTTGGGTGCTAATTTTGCTGGAACAAGACTGGGAGTGGAAAAGTGAGCTATAAATAAACTTCATTAGTGTGAACATAGAATCATAGAATCACAGAATGGTTTTGGTTGGAAAGGACCTTAAATATCAGCTCATTCCAACCCCTCTGCCATGTGTGGGGACACCTCCCACTAGACCAGGTTGCTCAAAGCCCCATCCAACTTCACCTTGAATGCTTCCAGGACTGGGACATCCACAGCTTCTTAGGGCAAGCTGTACCAGCGCCTCACCACCTCACAGTAAAAAATTTCTTCCTAATACCTAATCTAAACATGCTGGCAACTTCACCACAACATCCACCAGAGCCTTAATGGGAAGGTCTGCCAAGCTCAGACACCTCTACCCCAAATGAAATAGCAGATTTAGGACATAGGTTGAAGCAGCATCCCAGAGCTGCCCACACAATGTTAACTTATGGGTGTGGATGTAGTCAGATTGTCTCATGTCTCAAGGCTTGCTCCAACCCAGCCTTTCCCACCAAAACAAGCTGTCCATCCCAACTCACGTGTCACTCCAAGGGCCGTTCCACTCCCGCTCGCCCCACGGGTTGCGCATGCGGATCATGTCCAGCTTCTCTGACTTGAAGAAGGACAGAAGGCCGTGGCCCAGGCGGACCTTCCGCACGTCCGTCACCGCGTACGCGTGGCCCTTCACCAGGCCGCAGGCCAGGCGAGCCTCCATGTCAGCTGCTGACGTGGCCTGGGCAGGGGACACAGACAGTGCTCAGATCAGAGTGATGTGACTGCTTTTGCATGGACTGGGAAAGAAAGGGGCTCAGATTTCCCCACAGGTTTCTTTATGCCAAAAAGAAGAGCATCAATGGTCAGGGAGAGAGCCAGTTGGCAGATGTCTCAGATGCCATTTTATGTGGTAGATCCCTTCTGTTCTTCATCTGTTCCATGAGGGCTCTGAGCTCCCATAATGACAACAAATAAAGCTCATTCTACTGCATATACTAGGAGGTCTGGCACCCAGCATTTGTAGAGATTTCTGCATGCAGACACCAAAACACCTTTCTCTGGAGTGAATCCCCTCCTAATGTTTAAAAGGTGGTGGGATGAATCTGGGCTCTTGGACACAGAAATGAGGAATAAAGAGGGCTGGCATCCAGGATTCACCACTTTTGCTGTCCACAAGAAGTTGGAACCCTTGGCCACAATTTATCTCATCCAATTTAGAAGTTTACAATCATGTAAGATAACTGCATCCTAAAATACCTATTCCCATGGGATCGTGACCATGCTGGTAACCTTGCTTACTTTAATGGAGCAGCTGATGAGGCCTCCCCGGTTGTGCACCTTCAACACGCGCTCAAAGAGGAGGTTTCGCTTGGCTTCATCAGTGATGTAGTCTCCTTCCGTCAGGTCGATAGGTTCAGAGACACCACCAGTAAAATCTACCAGGGCATCAGCTGTGTTGCCTCCATCCAGGGCCTCATAACAGCCTGACAACCTGAAAGAGGGTGACAGGGATGGCACAACAACTTTGGCTTGACATTTTAAGGGGTCTGGGACAATTCTTGGGGAAGCCTGGCGAATGGAGATTTGTAATAAAACTTTAAGTGGGTGAGGACAGCCAGCAGGGTGAAAAAATAGGACCTGTGTTCCTTACAGCACTCTTGCTGTCATAGGACCAAAGTAAAAGAAACCTGAAATCTCTAGGATGGGTGTTGCTTAAAGAAACATTAAAGGATATTTTGCTTTGAGGATACATTAAGGCTAGAGAAGGTGGCTTTTTTCTTAGTTTTTGTCTGTTTGAGATACATACTACTACTCCCCAGGAAAGCTGTTGTTTCCACTGCTGCAAACCAACTGATGAATGAATAGAGAGGAAAAACAGAGTGCTCATGTCCCAGTTTGTCCTGCAACTGCCTCAGTACCTACTTGGCATAAGCCTTCTCCACCAAGGCACACCAGAATTCGTTCCTGGAGTTGGAGTGGCAGTAGATGAGCTGATTGTGGAGTGTGGGCAGGCGGTCATCAATCACCACATCCAGCCACTGACCAAAACGCCAGAACTGGAAGTGGAAGATCCCAACATAGCTCTCAGGTTTCTCAGGGTTCCACTCCTGCTCCTTCCAGTCTGGGATGACCTGTGAGAGAGGAGGCACATGCACCTAAATTATTCACTTTTTTCTGGGAATAACTCTCATCCTTGAACTAATGCAGATTAATATTAAAGACAAGGAAGAATATGAGAGGAATGGATTTGCTTTCAGCCTGCTAGGGCCAGATTTTGGACCTGGTTCCTCCAACGCAGACCAGATGAATGTGTACTGGCATAGCTTAGACTCCTTGGAATTTGGAGTCCCTTGGAAGATGGAGTTAAAGATCCTCGTCCTCTTTCTTATAACACTACCCTGGGCATCGGCTGCCATCTACTTCTGTAGACAGGCTATTGGAGCAGAAGCATCCTTAGTTTGAGCAGGGATGATTGAAATATTAATCATGCCATTAGTGAGCCCTGTAAGCTCACTGGCACTGTGAGTTGTCTGGATCAATAGAAGCATAGCAGACAAAGCCATGAAAAAAAGCCACTTTTGGAGGGTTTGGTGTTTTCCAGGACTGCTAACAGCAATGTCCCAGGGTCCTTCTTGGAGAGTGCCAGGAAAGATCAGACAGTCCTCCATCAATGCCCATCAATTCCCTCCTGACTGGAGCTGATCCTAATGAATAGTCATAGAGGACCATCATGCTAATCAACTTGCTATTAATGTGGGCTTAGAAATGATCACAGCATTGATTAGAGGCAGCTTGTCAGCCAGAGTGGGTAGCAATAGCTTCCCCCTGGCTGGTTCTGAGACTTGCTGCTGCTGTCAGTGGTGGCAGGAGATAGTGGTCCTCACCATCTTCCTCCATCCCTTCACCTGGGGATGGTGCTGAGAACACCCTCCACCACTGAAGGCAGCAAAAGATGTCAGCTTTCATCCAGAGCAGGATGCAGGAGTAAGGACTGGTCATGTTTCTGCGCTGACCCAAGAGGAAATGAGAGGAGTATGATCTCCAGAGATGCTCCATGCTTGGAGAGCATGCTGTGGACCACTCATCCCAGGATCGCATTGAGTTCTGGATTCAACTTGTTTGTGTGACACTGGGGTAGTGGAGGAGACCATGTCTCCTCATTCACCCAAATGTGCTGCTTTTTGCTCAGGTGCTCCCAAAATCTGGAGTTTCAACACCCTGTAGTGGGACAAATTTGCAGTGAAAGGGCTCAGAGACGGGTAAATTGGGAGCTCAGAAACACCAGGCTCATTTCCCAAAGCTGATTTAGGGCTTTTCCCAATTTTCTTAAGAATGGCTAATTAAGAGAAAAGGTACTTGTGACCCTGAAAAAATGTTCTGATTAGAAGGAGGAATTGGTAGATGCCAAATGCTCCAAGCCTTCTGCTGGGAACTTGCCAGCTCAGGATGAGGAGGGAGGCACCCAGCTGTACCAATCTGCTGAACCATGGTACAAACTGGGATGAAATTCGCCTAGGAGATGGGACAGGGCAGTGTTTCTGAAAGCCTTTATGGGATGCTGATACTGTACAGGGAAAGTTTCAGTGACTAGTAAAAAGAGGCTCATCTTCCCTGCAGCAGAGATCACACTGCCTCCCTCACCTCCCACCCCAGCTCTAAAAGAAAGCAGGATCCACCTATGAATCATTTCCTCTTCTCTGCTCAGCTTCAAACTCCTCCACTAACCACGCAAAACTGTTCAACACTCCATGAAGCCTTTCACACAAAGACAGAAGAATGTAAATGCTCATTTTACATTTAATAGGAGATAAAAAAGAGGCTCAAAAATACCAACAGGGAGTAAAATTTGGTGGGTGTTGCTTTATTGCATGCAGGATTAGGGCAGCTTCCAAAAAGAGCATGAAGAAGACACACACGGCCTCAATCCTTAAGAGGAAACTCATTGGCTAGACTTTTATTTACCATGGTACATCAATACCCAGCAAGGTATCTGCAGCAAGAACTCTACCCCAGAAACGTAACAATGGCGTATTGTCAGACCTGGCATGCAAAAATCCCTTTGGATGTTGCCAGTGGCTCCTGTTATTTGGTCAAAAGTGGTTTGTAGCCAGGAGTTCTGCTCTGGGATGCACAAGGAGAGGTCCTCCTATGGGAAAGTCTGCCAGGACCCTAGAAGTGGGGTTGGCCAACAGTGGGTGGCCCATGCTGTGGCAGGGATGCAGGGATGCATCTACTTTTCTCTCTACTCATTGAGTCCATCATTTCTTGGGGTCTAAACAAAGATATCAGCTTCTATAGCAATGTCCATGGCATGGCTGTATGATCTGAGTGGTTGCTGAGCTTTGGTTGTGGGCAAGACTCCAAGCTCCCACCATCTCTCCAGCCAGTATCTGATCCTCCTGCTTTCCTTTTCCTCTCTGCTTGGCATAGCTTGTGCATATCATGTTGTACACTATTGTTGGGCTGGGGAGGGCATGGAGTTGCATCTCTGGAGGCTTTGAAGAAGAGGTTGGACTCTTTTGGGGTTGGTCTGCACCAGTCAGCAAGCCACGGGTACAAAGTCCCCTTGTTCTGGCCTTCTCATCACTGCTCCCTCCTTAGTTATCTTGGGAAAATCTCAGGCCAAACTTTGAGGAGCACTCACCCACAGTTGAGTGCAATCTGAGCAAAGGACCAATTGTAATAATATTTAACTCTTTCAAGGGACTTTTCTATCTGTGTGTCTCAAGAAGCTTCATTGAAGTACCTTCCACTTTTTGATGGAGGAAATGTCCAAAGTCAGTAGTTTATTCACAGTCATGGGACAAGCCAGGCACAAAACGCCCTCCTGCCCCAGTACTTATAAAGGCACCACTATCCTCTGCTCTCACACATGGCCACCCACAGACCATTCCCTGTGTTGTAGAGGGTAGGAGACACTGCTTTTCAGGGACAACAACAGCAGGTTCCTGTTCTGTGGTTTGCAAAGTGCTCTGCAACCTCATGGCTCTCTATAGGCACTTCAGAGTAAATATATTCATGGGTGCTTTAAGGACAGTACAATGTGCAAATTGGTTTTGCTCACTGCTGGCTCAGACCTGAGACTCTGCACACATACACACACACCTGCTCCAACCCATCTTGGGATCAACAAACTCCAGACAGCACAAGGCGTGCTGGAGAATCCCTCCCCGCAGTGACCCCCAGCAAGAAATGGTGGTGATGGTCAGGAAAGGGCTGGTCCAACCTCCCAGTTTGTCCAGTAGGTTTGCAATTTGCAGAATACGGCGTGTCTAAATGTACTTCAGCTTCACAGCAAAGTGGATTCTCCATGGGACTGGTCTTTGGAGACACCAAGCAGCCACAGTCGCAGCAGGAGTCACTGCAGCCTGAAAGCACTCAGAATCCTTACTAGGAGTAGAAATCCATTGCAAACAAGCCTTCCATTTTTAATGGCTAGGATGGAAACTGGAAGGTAGGGCTCTCTCCAGGGGTCTCTCCTGTTTCTAGTATGGCAAATATTTATTTTTCCACCAGGTTTTTGGTTACACAGATGCCACATTTTGAGGGCTTAGGGCAGCCTCATATTTCCATGCCAGCAAAAACCTGCACCAGCCAGACCTGGTGAATCCCTGGTGATCACAAGCACACAGTCTGATACTCCAGGCAATGTTGCAGCAAGCTCATGGCCCTCTCCTCCCCATCATTCAGACAGAGGACAGCATGTTTGGGAACATTTCTGGGCTGAAGCGCTCCAGAAGCACTGAGCTGTTCTCCACTTTATCACAAAGTCATTCCTTATTAAAAAAAAAACAACAAAAACAACAAAAAACCAAACCCACGTGAAAACTGAAGCAAGAATTGAGCTGAGAGAAGAAAAATTAAGACCGAAGCACAGCTGGAGCGAGGCTGAGCAAGAGAGTATCAGGCTTTAAAAACAATGGAGCCCTTCAGCTGAGCTGGTTCGAGATCATCGGTGAAAGCGAGGAGGAAATACATCACTTTGCGGATCTGGGCTAATTCTGCTATTCGTTCCCCAAATTCCTGGGCATCTGCCTCATTGCACTCTACCTCCTTGGCCCCTGGCTTCTTCCAGAAGATTCCTACTGGCTCCAGCAGCTGCCGGTTCATAAGGTGGGTGAGATCAGGAGTCCAGTGTTGGGAGGTGCCGGTCACTGTGACCTTTCCAGGTCTCTCCAGCTGGATGTCCCAGCGGAGGAAGCGCAATTTGTGCTGCTGGATGAAATCCACTCGGTAGATGTGTTCATTGGGATGCAGCAGCTTCTCACCATCCTGGGGCCTCATGTTTTTTTGTTGCAGGCTCTGGAATCGTAGCCTCATGCGCCAGGTGAGCTGTTCATCGCAGATGAAGGGCAGCTCAATCATCTTTGCCTCAGCTGCCATCACCTTGGCTACTCCTCTGCTACGTTCTCAGTAATGTGTGGTTCTCAAACAGGACACACAGGCAGAAAAATCTGACAAGCTCCTGGAGCTGGTGCCTCCTCTCCACGGTCTCAGCAGTGCTAGGCAACCTGGGCCAGTGACGCAAAATACCCTCCGGTTCTTCCTCTGGGTGCCCTTCCGACTTGTTTGCAGATTCTAACTGATGGTGCTGCTGTGCTGTGCTGCATAATCTATAGGGAACGGATATCTGATGTCAGCCTCCCTGGCAACCTCCCTGACAACCATGGCTCCTTATCCCAAAACAAAGGTGTGCAGCCAGGGATGCCACCTTGACAGGTCTGGGTGGCAGTAGCTTTCTCTGAGCGTAGGTTCATGGTATAATTCAGGTTGGAAGAGACTGTGGAGGGGTCTGGTCCAACCTGCAGATCAAAACAGGACTTTCTTCAGGTAAGTCGCTTGGGGCTTTGTCCAGTCTCTCTTTGAGTATCTCCATGGACAGAGTTCCCACAGCCTCTCAGGGCCCCTCTTCCAGAATCTGACCGTGCTCATGCTGAAGATAAGCTGCAGCTTGTGCTGTTGTCTTTTGTCCCCTGACTGCGCATCCCCAGCCAGAGTTTGGCTCCATCTTGTCCACACTCTCCTATCCAGGCTGGATGGGGCTCTGAGCAACCTGGGCTAGTGGAAGGTGTCACTGCCCATTGCAGGCGGGTTGGAACTAGATGATATTGAAAGTCCCTTCCAAGCCAAGCCTTTCTATGATTGTATGATTAAGTAGCTACACTCGGTAATAAGCCCCCCCTTCATCTTCCCTCCTCCTGGATGCACAAATCCACTTCCCTCCAGACCATTTTGGTGGCTTGCATGAGGCTGTGCCATCCAGAAAAATACACAAGGATCCTGAGGGACAAATTGACTATCAAATGAGTACCAAACTAACATGACCCTTGTGTCCTTTTCTGGATGGTACAGCTGGCAGGAGTCAGGCTCCGCACTGCTCCTGCAGCAGCAGGTAGGCAGCAGCACCCCAGTGTTGTTCTGCCTGCCTGGCCTGGCACAAAGTTGGAGAGAGTGCTCACAAGGGGGTTTCCCCTTTGTGTGCCCAGGAAAAGGGAACTCAGGCACAGTCTGTGCCTTAATGCTTGTCTCTGTGGGCCAGGTAGAGAAGTGGGTCCAAGATACAAGCAACCCAAACAACCTGTTTCCAAGCTCTGATGCTCTGAACCCACCTGAGTACCAGCAAGACCATCATGCTCAACCTGGAACCACCCATTCCTCAGCAATTGCTGGGCATGCCTGGACACCATCCTGTGCAACCTGCTCTGGATGAACCTGCTTTAGCAGGGCGGTTGGACTTCCCACAGACAACCTTTCTGTGATTCTGGGAAATCCAGAGCACAGTACTGTGCTGGTGGATGGGATACAGGGGCATAGTGGTGAATGCATTTCTCTTTGCAGGGTGCTGGGTAGCTCCAGGAGGCTGTGCATCCTGAAGAGAGATGTCATGCCAAGCCAAGTTCCCCTCTGCTAAGTGTCTCCATCAATGAATAAACCACAGACAGGTTTTGGGTGTGCCACAGAAAAGACATGACTCCTGCAAGCATGCTGTGGTATCTTTGGGGTATAGTGGCTGCTTTGGACTTGGAGAGCACAGGGTTTCAGCACAAAGCTTTAGACATGTTGTAGAGTCAAAGTCATTTGGGTTCTCTCTGTCCTATCTGTGATTCAGGTTGGCTTCTGCAACATGACTTATTTGCAGGGCAATTTGGGAGCTCAAACGGTTAAATGAACTCCATGAAACAGTTTTTTCTATGATGTTTTTACAAAAGGCTGTGCCAGTATTTGAACTGTCACACTTGACTCATGAACACCCACTATCACTCCAGGGGCAATCACTTTGACTTCAAGAAGAAGTCCCAAAAAGACTACCAGAAGCTGGCCTTGGCCAGACAAGCCACAGACAACAGGGACCCAAGGTGGGTCATTTTCCTAGGAATTGTCCTTCAATCACCATTCTGCTGTTACTCCTGAAGACCTTGAGGATAGAGTCCAGAAAAGTAAGAGCTACACAGACCCATCTGAAAGGACAAATGACCCTTCTGGTTGTTCTCTGAGCTCTTGCCTCACTTGTTTACTGGCTTTAAAACACCCTTAGCAAAAGCTGTTGATCCTTGGGTTTTAAAAGTTAAAAACTCCTTCAATTAACTCTGGAGACCTTTTTGAGCTGAGCTACATGTAACAATGTCATATGGATCTTGCTTGGACGGACTTGTGTCTTTTACCCCCATATGTGGTAGCAGCAGAGGAAGCAATAACCTTGTACATGGTGATGAACACACTGCAGTGGGGGTTCAGCTTCCAGGCACCATGTGATGTTCCTTCTCGGTCTTGATGACGTGCAAGATCAGCCTTCAGGGAGAAACAATAACTAACCACAGGTTGTAAAAGACCTACACAAAATGGACTTCGGGAGGTCAGTGTCCTCAGAGCCATCTGCTTGTGGTGCCCCAGCCAAGACTGCCTGGCACTCTGGAAGCCACTAAGGGGAAAGAAGACCAGATTGGGTGATGGAAATGCAGGGGTGTCTGAACCACTTGGCTTCAAAGCCTGGCCCCTGTCCTTTGTTTGTTGAGCAGTACCAATGCAACCTGTGGGAACACAGGTAAAGATCCAGACAAACCTTTAGGACAAAGTGTTGCTGGAAATTATTTAAATCCCCTCATTTTAAGGTCTTAATTTCTTTTCATAAGAGCTAGACACCTCTGAAGGTTCAAAGAAAGGGTGTCATGGAGCCAGATCACACCTAAAGACATGTAGCGTCAGCTAGGATGCAGGAATTTAGAAAACAGTTCTAAATTAAATTCCAGTACCCTGTTCCTACTCAGTGACTCACACCACACAGACATAATAGGAAACAGGGACATGGAGAGAGCAAGGTGGAAGAAAGTGTGTGAATAAAATCCACACTCAAGAGAGACAGTTTCATTGCACGAAGTGGAGCAAGGGACACTCAGAGCCTACGTTACATCCTGGTGTAGATCAGGAATACATTTCCTAGTAGCAGTGGGATACCCGGACCAAGATCCCTGGACTGACATTTCAGAGATTCTAAAGCCTGCGTCAGCATCTTTCAGCTCTTCCCAGACCATGAATGAAGACATTTTGATGTTCAGGAACAGTATCACAATTGCATGTGCAACCATACCAAGGACCAAGGGGCCCATTATTTCTGTCTCCAAGATCTCCATTAAGTAAGAAATTCTTTACTGTGAGGGTGGTGAGACCCAGGTTGCCCAGAGAAATTGTGGATGCCCCATCCCTGGGAAGTGTTCAAGGCCAGGTTGGACAGGACTTTGAGTAACCTGATCTAATGGAAGGTGTCCCTGCCTACAGCAGGGAGGTTGGAACTAAATGGTTATTAAGGTCTCTTCCAATCCATATAATTCTACGATTCTATAAAACAAACTTTTCTGAAAGAAAAGAGGAGACAGGTAAAAAAGAGCCTCTGAGAGTTAAGGACATGGAAAATGAGAAGTCACAAACACCCACAGCCAAACTGCCCTGGGAGGAAAAGCAATGCCATTGGCAAACTGAAATAATGAGGTGTCCAAAGGGACTCCACAACTGTATGGTTGGCATTTCCCAGGGCAGAGCTGGAAGTGAATGGTGAGGAGGGAGGACAACTTGCCTGCTCACCCTTGGGAGATGTCGATGCCGAGGAACAAGCTAAACAACCCTGTGCACCACCCCCCTAATGACAGCCCCAACAGTCACCACAATCACCACAGCCACCATGTGAGGAAGCCTTATGGGTTATCCAGAAGCCAAAACAGCTATCCTGTTCCTGTATGAAGAAAAACCTAGACTTTCACAGAAAATGGGGATGCTGCAAGAAATTCCTGAGCCTGGAATCCACGATCATCACAGGAAGCAGAGACTGGAAGTACCACAGCACACAGAGCAGATGCAAAGGTGTGGGGTGGAAGGAACTCTCTCAGATCTGTGGCATTAGGAGGCTGTGGGTGAAGCAGGTCTGCACACACTGGCTGCCTTTTGCAGTAAAATCTAGGAAAAAGTGCTTGGGACTTCCTGGTTTCTTGCCCTACAATGAAGCACACCTGTACCAGAGTGTGAAGTCCCCTTGCCTTGGCTTTAACAGGGTTGACATCTTCTGTAGCTGAGGACATGGTGGAGATGAGCACAGACCTTCCAAGGATGTGGCACTGAGCATCTCTTTCCTCCAATACCTCCCTGGTTGCTCCCCAGGTCTGCAGCCCCTCACTCTGGTGCAGCTCCTTGGTGGTTTTCTGGCCCACAATACATTCCCGTTGGATCCCATACGTGAAAGAACACTTACCTTCTGCCACAGAGACTCCCGAGATGCCAGGGAGGAGCAGGCAGCCACAAACCAGCAGTTCCCAACCTGGCCCTGGTGTAAGTCATGGGAGCTGATCCCGTCCACAAAGAGATGTGGATCATTGCATATTTCCTGTAGGACAGAAGAAAAACAGACACACTAGCTAAGTGAGCAGACAGGGGAATCAGGAGCAGGGTTTCTTGTCAAAGGAAAATCACCCCCTCTCTTCCTCAGACTCTACGTAAACATGACCTGCAGATTTCTACTGGCTTTGTTCATCATGCTGGTGGCAGAAGGACACTAACCTGCCTTCTGCTGTCACCAGGACATGGGCAGCATCACTACTCAAGGGACATCAAACCTACTTCCAATTCTGTATCAGTATCAGCACAGCTTTAATTATCCCTGGTAATAATGGGACACTTTCACACCATTTCAGCCCTATGCCCCATCCCCTCTTCTAAGTCACCTCTTTCAGATCTCTCTACTCTGTGACTGCTTTACAAGCTTCTCCCTCTCTTATTTTGCTGCGCAGAGCATGAGAGCATGACCCAAAAACACTGCCTCCAATACTGAAACCTGTGGATCCATCCAAAAATAAAACCCTGCAGGAACAGGGCAGAGACAGGCATTTAATGATGAATTGCAGTGCCTAAATCAGACAGTTCCCCTAGGAAAGCTCAACTCAGATTGAGGTCTCAGCCATGGCTGCAAAAAGACTAGTGTCCTTACCCAGGAGGTCTGTCCTTCCAGATCCTAGTACAGCAGATGAAAAAAATTTGGTGCCAAAAGCTTTGCAGCTGGGCCAGGAGGATAAAATGCTCATTCTGCCACCAAAACCAGGATGGTGGATTGTGCACATGCACCACGAATCGAAAAACTTGGGTAGGAGGCAGCTAGGAGAGCTCATGCCTCCAAGCACTCAGGCACTAAGCACATCAGCTTTCCTCTGCCCGGCTCCTGCCAGGCTGCCCTCCCTGCTTTGCACTGCCTCTTAGAGCCTGGCCAAGAAAGCACTTAAATAACAGAGGGTGTTAAGCACGCTTCAGGTGACACTACTCTTTTTTTAAAATATATTTTCTCCTGATCAATCCTGCTTGGAAGGTCATGTCCAGCTGGAGGCTGAGAGCAGATGGGACAGACAAAGAGCTGAAAGAATCTTTTCCCCTCTGTTACTATGTTTAATTTGAAGAGGAAAAAGGAAAAGCAGATTATCTTTCTTCCCCATATCTCCCAGTTTTTCAGGTTGGTTGCACCCAGAAAAGTATGTTCCCCCACAGACTTTGTATGTGAGGTCTTTTATTGCCTCTGCCCATAGAATCATAGGATGGTTTGGGTTGGAAGGAATCTTAAAAATCATCTAGTTCCAGTCCCTCTACTGTGGGCAGAGACACCCTCCACTAGATCAGGTTGCCCAGGGCCCCATCACAGGGAGGAAGAGGAATCATAAGCACCTCTGGCTATTCTCACCTAGCTCAGCCAGCACTGTACACCTCAAAAATAACCCAAGGTCCATCCAGAAACAAACTGAGCAGGGTCAAACCCAAGGGAGAGGTCTAATCCCCTAATGTTGTCATTGCAGGAGGTTGGGATAAGCGCTAGGGGGAGACAAGCTGCCACCATCAAAGGCAGGAACCACCTGAGCTTCTCAGCATCACTGAGCGCAGACAGGGGTGGAACAGAAGCAGTGGGGTTTAGCTTCTGTTTCATACCACCAGGCATGAAACACACAGCGGCTGGGAATGTGTCTGTCCTGCCTGTTAGTGATGGGGATGTGTGCAAGGTCAGCTCTTTGTGATCCTGCTCTGGGGTGCAGAGGCACCATGTTTGCCTCATTTGAGGAATGCACCTGTCTCTTCTGCCCCTGGGTGAATCTGCAGATTACATAAAGGAGTCACTTGGTATTACACAAACAGGCAAGAACATGAAAGCATAAGAAACATTGAACAGTTTGGGTTGGAAGGGACCTTTAAAAGGCCATCTAGTCCAACCCCCTGCAATGAGTGGGAACATCAACTGGATCAGGTTGCTCAGAGCCCTGTCCAACTTGACCTTGAATGTTTCTTTGGGATGGGCTATTGACCACCTCTCTGGGCAACTAGTACCACTGTTTTGCTACTCTCACTGTGAAAACCTTCTTCCTTATATCTAGTCTAAATCAACTCTCCTTCAGTTTAAAACCATTGCTCCTTGTCCTTTCGCAACAGACCCTGATAAAAAGTTTGTCCTCATCTTTCTTATAAGCCCCCTTTAAGTGCTGAAAGGCTGCAGTAAGGTCTACCCTGAAAGGCAGAGAGGGGCTGCCACGCTTACCTGCAGAAGGACCACACAGCACACTCAAGACCTAGGACTGAGCTTGGTCCCAGTGGACTCCCAGCGATCCTAAGCACAGAATCACCAAATCAACACAGTTATAAGGAACATCTGGATATCATCCAGTTCACCTCCCTCTATTCAAAGCAGAGTTGCCCAGGACAGCAGGTTGTACAGCAGGTTGCCCAGGACTGTGTTCAGTCAGGCTTTGAGTATGTCCAGGAATGGCGACTTCACAACTTCTCCAGAGTGAAGATTCATAGAGCCAGTAAGCTTGGGAAAGACCCCTAAGATCATGGAATCCAGCCATTAACCCAGCACTGCCAAATCTACCACTAAACCATGTCTCTGAGCACCATATCTCTACTTTTTTTGAACACTTCTAGGTATGTGATTCCACAGCTTCCATGAGCAGCCTATTTCAATGCTTGACCATCCTTTCAGTGAAGAAACTTTTCTTAATATCCGGTCCTTGCACAGGGGAAGGCAGCATTGCCTCCTTGTTCTAAGGCTGCAGAGCTGATTCCATCAGGGTAAGTCTCATCTGTGGATCAGTCTCCCCAGCAAAACCTCCTGAGAAGGTTTGCCATATTCCTTAGACTGGAGCTTCCCAATATTAAATTACTTGGATTCTTCAGACCCCACTGAAGCTACTAGGCTTCCACTCACACATTTTGGCCCTGGTCTAGACTGAGTGGCCCTCAATCCCCAGGGATGACATTCCCTGTGTGCTCTGCCTGTACTGAGGTGAGAGCAAAGGACCAAGGCACTGCTTCAGCAAGGCTGCAATTCTCCCTGGATTACACGGAGCACAGTGGGGTGCTGGTGTATGATGTAAAGCCCACTCAGAGCCATGGAGCACCATGCCCACATGCAGAGGTGGGTGATGAAGATGAGATCAGTGAGAACTAGGTCAAAAAGCCAAGAGAAACTTTGGAACATTTAGTGTTTCTTTCCAAGGAGCTTGTTCTGCAGCCCAATGGAATTGCAGGGCCTGGGGTTTGTACGTGCAAAGGGAGGAGAGAACCAGAGATGCTCTGATCAGAGAAGGTCATGACCGTGGCTTCCTCCCCTCCCTCCCATGCAACAGACAGAAACCAGGTGAGCAATAACATTTACCCAGGTGGGCACTTGTCCAAAAAACAAACATCACATCATCCTCCCAGCACCACGACCCTGAGAGAAGAGGGCGGCACACCAACGTGCGCACCCACACACACCCTGGGGGCCTTTTGGGTTCGAGCATCAGCCACCACAGACCCAGCTCAAACTGCCTCGTGGCACTTGAGGCTTCACCAAACAGTGAGTCCATTCCATTCCTTCATCTCATTACAGCCAGATTCTGTGTCCTGGCTGCTCCCAGTCTGGACACAGATGGAGAACAGCAAGGAACAGTGCAGGAAAAGCCAAAAAGCTATGGCTGCAGGGAGGCTATGACTTTGATGTGTTGCTCTTAACTCTGCCTTGGCCAAGAGAGTCATTCATGTCTCTTTACCCTCCAGGAGAACCTGTCTTAGAGAATCCCAAGAATAATAGAATCATTTAGGTTGAAAAGACCTCTAAGATCGTCAAGTTCAACCATTAACCCAGCACTTCCATGTTCACCACTAGACTATGTCCCCAAGTGCCATATCCACATGTTTTTTGAATGTTTCCAGGGATGGTTACTCCTAAGCACCATCAGAGATGATCTGCCCTCCCTAAAAGTGCCTGCTGAAATGGCTGCTGTGCTCCAGGCAACAAAATACAACTTAGAGAAAGCCTGTGTGGATGGTTCTATGGAAACATACAGCCTGATAACACAGGGAGGGCCAAAATAGTGATTCAAAGATCTGATGATTCATATCCTTCCTTCTGCAAGGGATGTGGGACAGAGGTGGAAATCGGGGCTGCGAGAGGACTTTGAGGTCCCTGTCGATGAGAGGCTGATTGCAGAGGTCTGGCTTATGGGAGCTCATATCAGGCCAGTCTGTTCCCTCCAGGTTCAGGTTATTGAAGTCCATTAAGGGAAAAAAAGACCCAATCAGTGCAATTATCTTGCACTTGCTGGTGTAATTTTGCTTCCCACCAAAAAGCACATGGGATTTCCCTTTGCTCTCCCCAATGCACACAATTTTCTTGCAAATGCATTTAAACCAGAAAATATCTTTCTTGTCTTCTCAAGTTAGACCAATTCCACACATAGTAAGGAGAAAATCACTCTCTAATTGGCATTATAATTGGTGACTGTCTTATCATAAATGTTTCCAGTTCAGGTTTTTGAGATTTAGATTCACTGGGGATCTGGATCGCATCAAGCCAGCTGTGGGGAGAGAAAAAACTATGAAGGAGGAATAACCATGGGAGATACAACATCTGCTGCATGCCAGGACCATTTTTTGCTAACAAGATTTTGCAAGGAGCAGACTAGTCTAATTGCACTGCAGAGCCTGGCTGTTTCAGAACAATGCCTTCACTTAGACTTGCAAAATCAGCAAAATAATCTATTAGCATGGCTGCGCTTCCTCCCTCCCAGGCAACGGGGAACTGAGAGGATCCTGTCTTAAATGCACTCACACAGACAAGACAGCAAGAGACACCCAAGCATGGCGAGTAACGATGACACAGCTGACACAAAGGTCCCCATGCTGCCCTGCTGCAGGTACCTGAATGGGATGTTATTTTGCAAAAAGAGGAATTAAAAAAATTTGCACCAGGGTGACAGAGGGAAGGGAAATGGGGTGAGTCTCAAATACCAGGAGGTCTGTGTTTTCAGAGAGATTATTATAGAATCACAGAATCATGGAAGGGCTTGGGTTGAAAGGGACCTTGAAGAACAT